TTCCCAGAACTGGAGCACTGTAAAATGAGCCTCAGGCACCCGACAGTACCAAAGTTAGGAATTGTTAAAATGAAAACAAGCAAGCCCACATTGATGGGAGCCAACTGAATCAGCTCCTGACAGCCAAAACTGGAACAATGTGGAACACAGTGTGGAACACAACTGGAACAAAATAAACTTAGTACTGGATTATAACCCAAAATACCAATAAATGTCCATTAGTCCACATTGATATGAAGAAATGACTGAATAAATAGGAGGAAAAAAAGATAAAATATTCCAAATTTATTATAGAGATACTTTAGCTTCTAAAGAAGGGCAAGCCTAACGCACTACTCTAGTGTGGGCTGCACATGGAGACCTCCTTCCAAACAGTACAGTATGCAAAGAATGGGAAAAGAGAACAACTTTACAGTGGAGAAACCTGACAAAGACTATTTCACCCTGTGGACCAATAACAGTCACAAATCAAGTTGATGGTATATACCCTTGATATGATAACAATGGTACTTTATAGAAGGCAAATGCCAATAGAGGAGAATTCTACAACACACCTGACTAGTATGCCTAAAAAGGGTCAAGGTCAGCAAAGACAAGGAAAGTCTGAGAAACCCTCAGAGCTGAGAGGAGCCTAAAGAGACTATGACAACTAAATGAAAGAGAAGATCCTGGAGCCAAAAAAAAAAAAAAAAAAACAAAACAAAACAAAAAGAATATTAGGGGAAAACTGAATGAAGAAAATCTGAATGAAGTATAAATTATAGTTAATAACAGTGTATCAGGGCAGCCCGGGTGGCTCAGGGTTTAGCGCCACCATCAGCTCAGGGTATGATCCTGGAGACCCAGGATCAAGTCCCACGTTGGGCTCCCTGCATGGAGCCTGCTTCTCCCTCTGTCTGTGTCTCTGCCCCTCTTTCTCTCTGTGTCTCTCATGAATAAATAAATAAAATCTTTAAAAGAAAAAAAAACGTGGTATCAGTATCAATTCACTAATCAAAATGAATGTAGCAAACTAAGGAAAGATGTTAGTGATCAGGGAAACAAGGTATAAGGTGTACTGGAACTCTGTATTATCTTTATAATCTTTCTATAAATCTGAAATTGCTCTAAAAAATAGGGTCCATTAAAATTATTTTTCAAAAAAAGCCAACAAAGAAAACCCAGAACATACATAATACTGGTATACAATAAAGAGGATATTACAAATTTATGTCTAAATGATAGACTACTGAGTAAGTGATCTGGGGAACTACTGGCTGTTCACATAGGAAATAAAATTGGATAACAGTTTCACTCCACATGTAAATGACGGACTAAAATTCAAGTATGTAAAAACAAACAGTTTTCACTCTCAGAAGAAAATCTTAGAGAATATCTCCATTATCTTGCAGTAGGTAGGAAAGCATAAGAAAAAAAAGCATTAACCCTACAGAAAAAAATGATTTGTCCACATAGAAGTTACCAACTTCAATAAAAGAAATACTACTTAAGAAAACAAAGGACAAATGGTTAGAAAAAAAATGGTGTTTCAACCTAAAATGCCCCATCATATACAAAATGCAAATAAAGAAATTCTGTAAAAAAAAACATAAGATGATAATCAATAGAAAAATGGGAAAGGAGATAAATTGACAAATCCAAGGAACAAATGGCCATCAAACAAGTGGAAATAGGCTCAATAGGAGTAGTAATGCACCTTTAACACTTAAAATACCATGTTTTACCTCTCAGATGGGTAAAAATTATAAAGGTTCAGCAAAATTACAAGAGAAAGATTCTTTAGTGCACTGTCCACCGTCATCAAGTGCTTTAACCCCTCTGGAGGACAATTTGATAACATCCATTCAATATTTACATCTTTTCTTCCAAAATATTACAAAAGGAGCAAAGCTGAGGCTTTCATCAACAGAATTATGATACTATAGTTCATTCAACTGGGATAAGATGGAAAAGTATGCCTTAGTTTAGAAGAATGAGGTAGAGATACAGATATATGTATATAAAGGTTATCTAGACAGACAGACACACACACACACACACCATGGAAATACAGCTCTGACACATTACTTGGTCTAGAAAGAAAGTCATAGAACAATCCACAGAGTAGGACAGAATCTGATTAAAAAGGAAAGAACAAAAAGACATAGATTTTTGTATGTCCATCCCTATATATTTATGTATATCCACCTATCAGTGCTTAATGCCTTAAAAATATGTTTATGCACATCCCTATATAAGTGTTTAATGTACAGAACATTCTTAAAGGATACTCGTCAAATGGTGAAAGAAATGAGATTGGGGGCAGAGGAAAAATGGGTAAAGAATTCTTTTCCTTTTTTATCTATCCATCTTTGACAATGTATTACTTGTGTAATTAAACTTTTTTTTCCCTTAGTGAAATAAGTAGAAAGGGGAAGAGGAAGAAATGGTATGTTTTACCCGGAAAGTATTTGAAAGCATTTTCCTTCATGAGCACTATGTGTGTCAGAGAGGCCACTCTCCTGCTGCATGAGCGCCTGCCCTTTGGTCATGCTCTCTCGCTCTGTACCCCAGAGATGACAGTGCGAAGCAACACTACCTGGGGTAGAAGAATGACCCCTGACCAGTAAACTGCAGCTGGTCTGCAAGGAGCTACAGGGAACCATAAGCATCTCATGTATGCACCATGCTTTCGGAGCTTCCCCGAACACAGTGACTCTTGGGACAGGACTCAAACACAGGTCAAAAATATCACCAAGCCAGGTGTGAGTCACACAGGCACTTAGATTTGCACCAAGTGAGCCAGCTATGTATGGAAAGTCATTTTCAAATCTGAGTAGCCTCTGCTGTTTCCATGATAACCCTTCCACTGCCCCCAGAAATTAGAAGTACTCCATTCTAATCATTCTTCGAGATAGATATAAGCAACAATATTTTGCAATTAAACTGAGGCATAGCAAGACATAAAAACTTATTCATTACACAACTAGTAAATTTATGACTCAAATTTTATCTATAATTTCCCAAACCATTATAGAAAGTTGAATCATTTATTTTATATAGTAGAACACAATGTGGGACTACATAAAAACTAAAATGAAGAGAATTTTTTTCCGAAAGACTTGGCTTCCAAGGTAATGTCTTGAGAAAAAAAAAAAGATATTTATGTATTTGAAAATCAAAAATCACTTCTTTAGAAAAACTAAGCCTCAGTGTAAATTACAGTGGGGGAAAAAAAAAAACATTACTGATGGATGAAGATGAGATAAACCTACCAAAAGGTAAGTTATGGATATGCTTCAAATAGCAAAGAATGAGATTTCCAAATTTGTGATTCAGCTTTGTTAAAATCATGGTGCTAGTCACTGCCCACGCTGAAGACTGCTATCTCAGCTGCTTACAGATGGCACTGGGGAAGCCAAATTCAGGACAGTCAGTGTAACACACAGAATGTTATTTTTAGTCACACACTAAGTAAGCCCCTTCTTTTGAGGGGCCTTAAAAATGCAAGGCATAGCTCCTCAAGCCCACTCACATTCTGTGTTAATAGTTTCTCAAAGGGCCCATGAATTTACATTTTTAAAAAGTGCTGGTTCTCAGGCCTATAAGTACAGAAAACAAACTGATGGTTGCCAAAGGGGAGGTCGGTGGGGGGCATGGGCAGAATGGGTGAAGGGGCATGGGAGACACAGGCTCCTAGTTATGGGATGAATAATTCACGGGAGTCAAAGGCACAGCCTGAGGAATCTAGGCAATGAGGGCACCTGGGTGGCTCAGTGATTGAGTGTCTGCCTTCAGTTCAGATCAAGATCCCGGGGTCCTGGGATCAAGCCCTGCATCAGGCTCAGTGCAGGGAGCCTGCTTTGCCATCTGCCTGTGTCTCTACTTCCCTTTCGGTGTCTCTCAATAAAAAAACAAATAAAAGTAATAATAATAAAGAAATCCTTTTAAAAAAAAAAAGGAATATAGTCAATGACATTGTGATAGTGTTGTATAGTGACAGATGGTAGCTACACTTGTGTGAGCACAGCATAACATACAGAGAAGCTGGATCACTATGTTGTGCACCTGAAACTAATGTAATGTGTGTCGACCATACTCAAAAAAAAAAAAAAAAAAAACCTTTTTAATTAAAATTTCTTTTAAATTAAAAAGTGCTGGGATGCATGGGTGGCTCAGTGGTTGAGTGTCTGCCTTTGGCTCAGAGCATAATCCTGGGTCCAGGAATCAAGTCCCACCTGCTTCTCCCTCCGTCTGCCCCTCTCTGTGCCTCTCATCAATAAATAAATAAAACATTTTTAAAAAATTAAAAAGTGCTAATTCTGGGGAACCCCAGATTAGGACTTCAAAGGGGCACTGACTTACTTCACCCACCCCCTGAAACAGATCAGAAGAGGAGGAGTTTACACAAACATACATGAGTTTCCTCCCTTTCTTAGAAGCCTTTATTCAAAGTATCACTATATCTTACCACTGATAATAAGGTGAAATAACTTGTTTGTTTAAACTGAAACCCTTAATGACAGAATATAACTTTAGAATAGTTTTTTTAATTTCTGGTGACAGGTAGAAATAAAATGCAAGAATGGGGTAGGGATTGTTTCATTTCTTAAAAGAAGAATGTGAGAGGTCTGAAGGATGGCAAAAAGTTCCTGTTATTAAATCTGAGTGAATAATAACAGGAATATCATGGCATTTGCCATGCTTTTTCATATGTTTAAAATACTCTTTTTTTTTTTTTTAAAGCACTTAAACTCCTGGCATTATTCCAAAAAAGTAAGACCATACAAGAGCATCTGCCAAGCCACCACAACCTGAGAAAGCAGTGGTCAGTCAACGATGTCCTTTGACAACTTTTATCTTGGAAGGATGCATGTAAGTTGATTTTGTGTCCCTGCCACTGCCTACAGAAAAACAGGCACGATCTGTTTGCACTTACTTAAAGTGATGCTGGTTTTCATTGTGGACAGGAAAATTTCAGTAAGGATACAAGGAAGACTGCCCCTCTTGGGTTCACATACCTGTGTCACTACCAGATCCTGTCGATAAAGCTGGCATGATGCAAGCCTCAGGCTTAGACCACGCACACCAAACCCTCTCCGCTTAGAAAGTCACAGGGAATTCCAGCTTGATGGCCTGCAGCCACGCTGTCCACCAAGATTTATATATCGAGCAGGCCGTTTCTAAAAAGAGAAGAAAAAATGCTTTAAAAATAGTAACAGGGAAGTCTACTAAATTGCAACCTTCTGCAACTAATTCAGAGTTCTTATTCCGACACGCTACAAGATCACAATTCTTCCAAATTTTGTCTACATACTTCTTGCAAATATTAAGTGTGAGATTTTTATTTTGATGTGAAATTTCTAATTAAAACCACGAAAGCTCCTCATGCATGTATCAAGGCTTCCTTAAAGATTTTTCTAGTTGGTTTGAGGACTGCTGAGTGCAGACTGAGAACAGTAAAAAGGTTTTAACACCGGTGCTATTCTAAAAATCCTTGGCCTCTCTGACCGTGATTCCACACTATATTTCTAATGCAGAACAGAGACTCTGTAGATGGTCGACAACTTACAAACAGTTGGAATTATTTCAAGAGCTCATCCTAATATGCCAACTGCAAAGTTCTCTAACTCAAAACTGCAAATCACCCGGAGAAACTGCGAGAACTGAAGATGTTAGGGATTCACAGAAGTGTTCATCTAAACGAGACCTCCCAATCCATGCTAATACACAAAAGCCAATTCATTTAGTAAAAACTAAGCTTTGGGGCACCTTAAAAAATATCCACTCTTTTCCAAAAGCTGTTTTAATGACAGTTTATCCCAAAATAAGCAGTAAAGTGTTACTGTCTCGTAGCTAAGGAGAAAGGACTCCAGAGTTCGGCCTCATCTCTCATCCTGCCAACTCTATCATCTTGGACAACTTTTTAATCTTATTATGCCTTAATTTCCGTATATAAAATTGGGGAATTTTAGAATCCCCAATTTAGAATCGTTTCATGATGAAATAGACTAAGTCTCACAGCACAGCATCTGGCATATGACTAGCAAACAAGAAATGCTGGCTATTATGACTGGAGCTCTTTAATTCATCAGGCAATGACGTTATAAAATGAAAACATAAAAGAAAGAAGATTAAAACTGATGCTGGCCTGACACCTAGGAGAAGGCCATGTGGTTTAAATTGGACCACTGCTAATAATGGAAAATAGACTACATTTACATTTTTTAGAAATCAGAAGACCCACACCATGTGTTTAAGTCCATTTTTAATGCATTTTCCCCAGTTTGCTATAAAGCAAATTCAGTAATTTAAAAGCATATTTTAACATATATTAACAAGAAAAACAGATATTGTAAACACTCGATACACTGGCTCACTTCAACCCGGGAAGCCTTTAAATTGCTGATTCATTTACAGAATAAAAGGAGCTTGCCAAAGCTCATTGAAAAAGTCCAAACTGTAAAATTCTATTAAAACCTTCTAAATTAGCTTTCTAATTATCACAGCAAATGTTAGGATGAAAAAAGTCACCAGACTGTCTTGAACCAAACTATCCGGTGCAATGGCTTGCATTTTGTTTCATAGTACAAAGGTTGACAAAGTTAAAATATGCACACGTACCCATACAGACAAGACTAATAATTAAAAATGTGAGGGCAATTATTTTAAATGCCAAATAAACTATAAATCATGGAGCTTATTTTTAAATAAGTGAGAAAGACCAAGTTTCATCAATGCCCATTTATTTCTGAGGCTGTTTTCCCCGATAATTTTAAGAGGCAACTCTACTTTGCTGTCATAAATTATTATAACAATCGGGATTAAAATTCAACTACATAAAAGTGCTCCCTAATTTGAACACAAAGAAAGTAAGAAACAGACCATACGTGATTTAAAGAATGCACTCAATAAGACTTTGTGCTGAGAAAAGAGGAGGAAATGGTTGAAATTTGTGAAGTGTATGCACACACATTTCTACCATTAGGGCAATTATGTAAATGCATGTGGGTAGAGAGTTATCATATGTATGTATGTTACATAGATAATTTAAGCTCTTTATGCCGTAAGTCATAATTTAAATAGTACCGACTGCTTAATAGAAATACACATACAATACAGTTTATACCATGCAAACTACTCCTTTCTGCACGCCTTAAAGAACTTAGAATACTTTGGTAAACCGCAAACATATAAGTGATCTTATATCAAACATTCTATATCTACTAAGACAACCTTACATTTCCATAGCAAAACATCCTTCTGAATTGATACTGCTGCAGTACATACAAAGCCACTTACAAAAAAGCCTCAGCATTTCTCGCTTTTTATTTTATGACAAACACCCAAGGTTAAATTTTTCCAAAGTCATGTTACTTAAGAAATATATGCTACAAAGTAATTATCTTCTCACAACATATATAAGCATATTAATAAAAAGTAAGTGGTTTGATAAAATCCCAACCAGTAAAAATGCTTACTATTTTGTGGAACAAAGCAGAGTCGCTGAGTTTAACTTTCAAACTGAGCTAAATTTTTGTAGTAATCATGTTATTTTCTTTGGCGAAATTTATTGAAAATACTTTGGAATTTGTCAGAACCCAGCTATAATTATTACTGACTGTTGTATGGAATTGATTTACTACAACACAAAAATACCAGGTGTTACAGTACGTCCTGAGAGGGATTACCGAATATTCTTAAATTGAAGTTCAATCCATCTTTCCATAAAAAAGAGAGATCCAAACGCCAGGAACCCAACAGCGGTATCAAGTGCACCTGAAACATTTACAATACCCAGTAGAACTATTACAACCCTCCTTTAAAAAGGCTTATTTTTGAAATTTCATTATTCCAGTTGTACCTTGCTTCTATATATCACACAGTATCAGGTTCTTCTGGCATCGATCATGTGGAAACAGTGAACTATGTGAAGGTCTAGGAGCTAACAACGTTCAATTTCTACTGGCCTTGGGTAACCCTGAGAGCTTCCATGGCACTCATGACATCTAATGGTCAACCACAGAAGTGCAAGTGTTTGTCGCAGAAAACTCCAGTGTTTTTGGCGTTTCCAGGAAAGCAAAAATTATCTGATTGCACCCAGAGAAACAGTCATCTGCAAAAATTTCATTTATATGCACCCATAAATGTTAAATACACACTCCTCCTGTGTGCCTCCTCTCCCTTTCAATACTTCACTAGAACACCACTTCACTTCTGACACCAACTGAGCTCTTCCGCATATCAACCAATTCTGCAACATGAGCTGAGTGTCCTACAAATTCAATTCAATTCTGGCACAATCTATCTAGAGATGGCATCAGATCCCACAGGTCCAGGGCAAGGTCCCACAAGATTGTCCCCACCCCCATGTCAATCACAAGTTCAGGCTATCTCACCTGTGCTTCTGATCCATTAACTACCAATCAGAGGTTCTCATGAACCCCTGCTTGGCTTTATTAATTTGCCAGACCTTCTCCAAGAACTCAGGAAAACATTCACTGAGTAGATTACCTGTTTATTATAAAAGGATACAACTCAGACCAGCCAGACAGAGGAGATGCACATGGCATATATGTGGGAAGAACACAGCTTCCATGTCCTCTCCCTCTCCAGGAACACAACTCTTCCCGCCCCCGCCCCCACCCCCACCCCACCCCACCCCCCCGCCTTCCCTGAACCTCCACCTATTCACCAACCCAGGAGCACTCTGAACTCTGTCCTCTCAGGCTTCTATGGAGACTTCATTACATAAGCACAACTGATCAAATCACTGGCCACTGGTGACTGATGCTGCTTCTAGCCCTCTCACATCTCCAGAGGGAGGGTTGCCAAGTGCCAACACTCCAATCTAGGTTGGTCCATTGGCAACCAGCCTTCATGCTCCAGAGCTTTACAAAAGGCACTGCATTACCATAATCTCAGGTGTGGCTGAGAGGGGACACACATTATCAGTTAACAAGATACCTTTATCACTCTTATCACCTAGAGTTTTAAGAACTCCCGTGCCAGGCAGCTCTGGTGGCTCAGTGGTTTAGCACTACCTTCATCCCAGGGCGTGATCCTGGAGACCCAGGATCAAGTCCCACATTGGGCTCCCTTCATGGAGCCTGCTTCTCCCTCTGCCTCTCTCTCTGTATGTCTCTCATGAATAAATAAATAAAATCTTTAAAAAAAAAAGAACTCTGTGCCAAAAATGAGAGGCAAAACCAAATATATCTTTCTTCCCATAAACCACAATACTGCACATACCCACAAAGTTTAGGTAGATGAACAAGAAATCAAATACTGGACCTCATTTCCACAGACAATTTCCTCTCAATTTAGCAGAGTATTCAAGAACATGAAAACTTTTTAAAATTTTATTTATGTATTTATTTTACAGAGGGGGAGAGAGGGTGAGCAGGGGGAGGTGCAGAGGGAGAGGGAGAGAATGTCAAGCAGACTCCATGCTGAGCACAGAACCCAACTCAGGTCTCACTCTCACCACCCCAGGATCATGACTTGAGCTGAAATCAAGAGTTGGGCACTTAACCAACTAAGCCAACCAGGTGCCTCAAGCATGAAAACTTTCCATTAACTTATGGTATTTAAAAATCCCATTAATATGCTACCATTTCAGGAGACTGAAATGACAACTGTATCCAATAATTCAACTGCAGGTTACTTCACCAGTTACAATTATTCTAAGTTACACTTTCAAAATCTGATAGAGCAATAAAAATAAAAGTCAACTTTAAAAAAATTTTTTTGAAAGCTTGATCTGAAACATTATATATTAGCCAATGCAAGCAGCAAACTATATCTGTTAACATTATTCAAAACTTTGGGGAACCCTGGGTGGCGCAGCAGTTTAGCACCTGCCTTTGGCCCAGGGCGCGATCCTGGAGACCCGGGATCGAATCCCACGTCGGGCTCCCGGTGCATGGAGCCTGCTTCTCCCTCTGCCTGTGTCTCTGCCTCTCTCTCTCTCTCTGTGTGTGACTATAATAAATAAATAAATAAATAAATAAATAAATAAATAAATAAATAAATAAATAAATAAATAAATAATTTCAAAACTTCATACATTATAACTGTAAGACAATAAAGGAGGCAACAAGTAGTAAGTGGCATAAATCTGCTTATATAAAATTGTATTTACACCATTTATACCAGCAGTTCTCTGAGTGTGGTCTGCAGA